ATATATATATATAATATATATATATATATATATATATATATATGTGAAGGATTAAAATTCATCCAATAAGAGAACAAATTAGGGAAGGAAGCCTTATTTGGGTAGAATGGGATCCAATTATCATGGTAAATGTTACCCAAAATGTATTTTTCGCCTGATTTTCACCAATAATTCGAATCATTTTTTTTCTCTCTCTCTCTTTCTCCCTCTCTCTCTCCCTTTTTTATTTCTCTCTTTTCTCGTTTTCTCACTCTCTTTCTCTATGTTTCACTAAAGTAGTTGTCATCAACAATTATCTTCAAGGAAAAAGATTGGAAAAATAGATGAGTTGAGTGGGTGAGTGAAATGAATGAATAGTATGAGTTGAGAGGAAACTAAAATGATCGATAATAGAGAAGAGATATGAAGTGAAAAGAAGCCTAGAAGATAATGAAATTCATGTCCCCATCATCTTCTCCTGTCCCTACCATCTCTTGTCCACATCATCTCATGCCCCCATCATTTTCTCTTGTCCCTATTCTCTTGTCCACATCATCTCATGTCCCTATTATCAACATCACCATCATCTTCAATTTTATTTGGTTCTTTCTTTACATTATAATACTAAATCATTTTCAATATTCCTTCTAACATTAACAAAAAAAGAATTAGTACTTTAAAAAAAAAAGAAAAAAGAATTAAATGAACAATTTGAAAAGTTAGTCCAAAAAAAAAAGAAGATGAAATGAATTATTAGATTTACAGTAAATGAATAAAAATTACAATGTCAATTAGCATACATTCATATTTTTAATAATTAAAATAATAATCCATAATCTCGAGAAAAAGAAAAAAGGAGAAAAAAGATAATACAATTGTACAAATCGTTATCACAATACTGATATCATTCAATGACTGCTATTGATTACAAATAAATGATAACAATTGTTGACAACATTATCAAAGGAAAATATTGCAAAATTGATATTCAATTCATACCATTATTTTTTTAGACATTTTTCATCACCAAATCCTTCAACTTATCTTGATTGTTAACCAATATTATTGCTTTTTTATCATTATTATCATTATCGTCATCATCATCATCATCATTAGACTTTAATTTTATTTTGCAACGTCTGTTATTGGCTATTCAATAAATTTAATTGCTGCTGCAATAATTACTGCTGTTATCGTTATTGTTATTGTTGTTGTTGTTGCTATTGTTACTGATACTACTATTATTTAAATTCAATCTGCAAATATTTTGTGAACGGCTATTTTGTACAATTGTTTACTTGTACATTTGATAACTTATTTAAAAATTTTATTACTTCATCAATTAATCAATGTTTTAACAGAACAAAATGAATGATATGATTTCAAAGTGTAGGAAATGCACACAGAGAGAGAAAAAGGGAGAGAGAGAGGGAGAGAGAGATATGAAAAATATTTTAGCAAATTAATTAAAAAGGGATGAAAAACAATTCTAAACTTTTTTTTTTTTGATATTTCGTTAATAAAACATGCATTAATAATAATGATCTTTTAATTCTTTCATCTTTTTCTTTTCCATATTGATTGTCAAATATTCATTTTTTCAAAATTCATTTGTTTTTTCTCATATTGGTAATACTAAAAGACGAAAAGTTCATAGAAAAATACTGTAAATGATAGAGAAAAAAGGAATGTGAGACAGAGAGAGAGAAAAAAAAAGTAATGAAAGTTTATTTTTGAAAACATTTATTTGACAAAGTAGAAAAATTGAAATTACTACTTAGCATTTTAAACTATAACAATACAGCAACAAAAAATGTTAATTACTACTTCGTAATTTTCAAATTGATTTTTTAATTTAAATTTAAAGTTTAAATCCAAACAAGGAAATGACAATTTTTGAAGGATTTTTTGATTTTCGAAGAATTCTTCAGTGATAAAGAAAAAAAGAGGGCAAATTCAAGAAATACTTAAGTATTGAAAAAGAAATATTTGCAGAATAAAATGATGGGAAAGAGGAAAAAAAAGAAAATAGAAAAGAAAAATGAGAGGTACTCCATAAAATGACAATCATCAGGAAAATTATCATCCATAAAAGATAAATTTTTTTATTTTCGCATTTCATTTCTTTCAAATTATCAAGATTGAAGAATATATATTTTTTCAAGAATCGAAGATTATTCATTTCTTGCACAAATAGATTAGTAATTAATCCTTGCAATAATGTCATATAAACAATTGGCAGATAGATGCCTGATTAAAATGATGAATTAAAACTCAACTAAATGATTTAAACGGGGAGAAAATTCAAATTCGAAGTTTTAATTGGTTTAAAACTTTTAAACAATAAAAATGATACCATCTTCCGGTTGAGTATTTCGTCTATGGCTATAATAGGATGGTGGATCACCACAATCATATCGGGATATTGGTGTTGGAGGTGATGTATATGCAAGAGTAATATCACTGCTGTAGTATGCTTGTACATCACCTGAAAATTTTTGCTAATTTAAAACTTAAATTTAATCACTTTGATAAAGGATAATATAAATATTTTGAAAAAAAAATGTATACATGAATATTTTAATTTTTTTAGAATGTTTTTTCATTTGTATTCGCATTAACATTTCTATTTTAGTATTCTTTGTTAAAATGTATTAGTTTTTTATATTTCCAAATTCGAAAGTCCTTCCTTTTTTTTTAAAAGTATTCAAGTAATTATAAATATATAAATAACATACATTTGTGATTGATTCGAAAAAAAATTGAACGGAAATGGCGTAAAATATATAATAATGTCCAAACGACAAAAAATTAGATAATATATAAATATATATGGGGAGAGAGAGAGAGAGAAAGAAAGAGGGAGAGAGAGAAAACGGAAGTAATAAATTAACTGTTTTAAAAACGGTAGAATTATACAACTTATACAATTAAGTTAAACTAATAGTATAATTCAAATATTTGAAATGTAACGTAAAATTAGCAATACTCGATATTATTTTATAACAAAAAAATAATTATTATTTGTGCGACAGCATTTTAATGGCTGACATATATTATAGTTGAAAATCTTTTCGGATAGAAGTAAGCACAAAACATAAATAACAATAAATTCAAATAAAATAAGATGAAAATTTAAATTCACCAAATTGTTCATTTAAAAATGAAAAAAATTATGATTGATATAATTAAATTAATCATAATTCAACTATTTCAAAAACAAAAAAAAGAAGGAAAAGAGAATGGATAATAAGAGAATATTCTCTTGTCACTTATATTAAATATCTTTTCCTTTTTTCTTTTTATTTTATACATGGCAAAGATAATCAATAATTAATTATGTAATTTGGTCAATTTTTTTTTACTCATTTCTTTTTAGCTCATGTCTTATATCGTCTATTCCTATCTTCAATTTTGTTTGTGGTTGTAAGATCATAACTGATCGATAGATAGAATATTGTTGATAATCATATCGAAAATATTTTACCTTTAATTTTATTTTTAAAAGAAAATTTTAAACTTTAATGAAAAAAAATTCATTTTTATTTTGCAACATGAAATAATTACTACTTTTTTATTCAAGTTGCATAAAAATGTATACATTTTTTTCAAATTCAAATATTGCTAACTGCTCAAAAAAAAAAAAAATATTTGGAAAGTCATTTCCACTTTTTAACTTCATCTATCACATTTTTAAAAAGTATTTAAACAAAGAATACACTTAAGCAAATTCAAGAGTACTTAAACAAAAAAAAAAAAGGTTAAACAGTGAGAAAATTCTTTTTTTATTTTCTATTTTTTACCAATGAAAATTTTTTTTTCATTCTTTTTCCTCCGTTGAAAAAAAGAAAATGATATTTTTTTCGAAATAAATAAAATTACAATTCATAAATTTCAGGAAAAAGTCATTTCAGCTTTTTTAATCTCATCTCTTTTTAATCTCATCTTTTTAAGGGATAAGAAAAGTATTTAAATATTTTCAGTCATTAAAATATTAATGTCTTTTTTTGTTTCTTTGAAATACATTTAGGTTTCATGTCTAATATGAAAATGACAAAAATGACACATCACATTAAGATAACGAAGATTACATTTCACATTTAAATAAAACAAATCAGGTTTGTGTTCCTTTTTCTTTTTCGGAACATACATGAACTTCCGTTTTCTCCTTTTTTTTCACCGTTCAAATCATTGAGGAAAGAATAAAATCATAAAATTACCTTTCCTTTTTTTTTTTAAAAGAAAAGGATTAATATTTAAAATAAATAAATGTTTTTTAACAATTAAACAAAACTTTCAGATAAAAAAAGCCAAAACTTTCCTTGTTGTGTTCACATTCTTCTTTTAAATTTTATTTTTCCAATAATTAAAATTCGTTTGACAAAACAAAAATGACAGAAAAAAAAGTAAAAAAGATTATCATACAATTTTGAGGAGAAAGAAAAATCAAACCTCTTCCATCAGCTATACCATAATCATGCGATGATCCTTCACGACTTCGATGTACCGTATTAGGACCAACAATAGCTGTTCGAGTACCACCTAAAGGTTAATGTTTATGAAAAAAGAAAAGGTAAAACAAAACAAATTTATTTATTGTCCATCATTCTATTCGCATTCATTCAGATAATATTACTTCAAAGTGATAACATGAGTGGGAAGTTTTTTCGAATAGAGTTTAATAATTTATTAATTTGGAAAAATACCGATGTTATTCGTGGCGGGGGAAAAATCGAGAAAAAAATTGGTAAAAATCTAATTTAACTCTTGATTCTCATTTACATTCATTCTCATTTCAAAAGGTATCGTCCGTAAATTATTCAAACTTTATAATCCATAAAATGGTTCAATTTTATAATTTGTAAAAAATTGAAAAATGATGGAAAGATTAAAGATTAAAGTAACGAAATAGTAATAATACAAAGGAATGCAGTATTGATTTCCTAATAAAATTGAATATGATCTAGCAATTGTTGGAAAATGCTATTCTAATAATTTATAAGTCCTATATTATTATTGCAATACTTTATTAAATATATTGATAAGTATACCTTTAATCAATTATTTAGAGTAGAAAGAAAAGAAATGGAAATAAAAAAAAAAAAAAAACTTACTCGGTAATGAAGGTTCAGGTAAACTATCAGTATATGATGTGGAACGTGTAGTAGTATACTGATTAGTTTCATAGGTACATGGAATACTTCGATTTAATGATTGAGGAGTGGAAAGACATCGTGATGGCATTTCAGATTTCAATTCTTTATTACCATTTTCATTTTCACGTCGACGAAATCGTACTTGAAATGAAAATTATTGAAAAAAGAAAAGATTAAAATTTGGAAAAAAATCACAAAAAAAAAATTAACCGAAGATCTTAATTTATTTTATTTTTAAAACGTCAATTTAAAAATAATTATTGTTACAATTAATTTATATTTCTTTCTTTAAATTATTCATTTAATGATAATTAGAATTAGCTTCATTTATGCTAATAATTAATTGGTCAATGATTAAAAATTTATTTCATTCGTAAAAATTTTATTTGACAAATAAATTTATTCTGAATATTTCAAAATGTAATATTTCTGTTTTTTTTCCTTTATCAACTTTTTTTAAATACTTTTCCATTATTATTATACTATTTTTATAACCGTTTCTAAATACTAATTTGAAATTTTAATTTATTTATAATCAAAAATGATTGAATTCCTTTTCTTTCATATAATTATTACTACTTTAAATAATAAGAACACTGCGTCAAAAAAATTAATTGGATTAATTAAATGAATGATTTATTGCTGATTGTAACTTAGAAGAATTTCATTTTCCTTATAAACAAAAGAAGCGAATTAATTAACAAGTTTCTTAAAGTAATCTTTTAGACGACAAAAAAGATGGGACGAAAAAAGTAAAAGAAAAGAGGAAGAAACAGTTTGAAATGTCAATTATACTATTTATTTTCGCATCAATCTCTACACAATAAGGTGAAATTAGAAAGAGAAGAGATATGTGATCCGGAAATTAAACCGGTTTAGGTATACCTTTGGTTGATTAGAATAAAGTTCCTACAAATTAGGTTATCATCAACATACATTAACTAATTGGATTATTTCATTAATCTATCATTAACTAACCTTGATTAATTGTTAATATCAACTAATTAAGGCACTTAATTTGTCATCAACTAATGTCTATTTTCTCTTTGATAATTAAATTAAATCAAACTATCATGTTGAAGAACTGATAACTAAAAAAAAGGAAGAATTCATATATTGTCTCGATGTCATTCATAATTATCTATCCGAAATCACTCAAGTATTAATTAAAATTCGTATTTAAATACTCGTTCGAAAATTTATAATTGACCAGGTCACTAAAATACTAAATACAATAAGTATATAATATTTAAATCCTCATGAAATCTTTCGATTGTATATCACACTACATTCTCAATCAAATAATTACAAAGTTTTCCCATATAAATATCAATAAATGTTCATCGACGTTGTAAACTCGTAATTAAATACTTGTTTAATGCTGAACATTCTTAATTTGATTTTGAATATCTATTTAGAATTTCTAACTTAATAGTCCCTTCGAAAATAGCTATTTGTTGATTTAACACAAATCATCATAAAGTAATTGAATGAAAAATTAACAAACAAATGAAATAATCCAATCATAAGAATTTTTAATTAAATGTTTCTTAAAATTTTCGGGCAAATAAGTCATAATTAAGCATTCATAATATTAAATTACTGCAAATAATTGAGTATTACATTTGTTATTTTACCTTAATAAATTAAATAAATTAAATTTAATAAATTAATAAATTTTTTAATAAATTAAAATAATAAATATATAAATATAATAAATTAAAATAAGTAAATCTTAATTAAGAAATTGATTCGTAATATTATTGCAAAACTTACATTTGTTATTTTACTTTAATAAATTAAAATAATTAAATGTCGATTAAGCAAATTAAAATTGTTGTAATATTGGTATAATTTACCTTTTTATCATAATTAATTTATTTTTTCCATAAAATTAAAATAAATTTTTAATGAAAGGAAAAAAGAAAATTTAAAATTTAAATTTACCATTATTTAATGCGGCACCAAGCCAAGATGAGCACAGCATTCACTGAGGGTACACACATAAAAAAAAGAAGAAAAAATAATTTTTTTTTTTTTGATATAAAGAAGAGCGCAAATGGCAACAAACGAAGAGAAGAAGAAGAAGAAGAAGGAGGAGGAGGAAGAAGAGAGGAGAGGAGAAGAAAGGAGAAGAGGAGAGGAAGAGGAAGATTGATAGGATCAAATTGGCGCAGATGTTTCAAATGGTTCAACAATTTATAAGAATGAAATGGGAAGGAGAGAAGATAGAATAGATAATGATTGAGTCAATTCCATTTAATTTCTAAAATTTCATTTCATCTAAAATCATGCATTTCATTCAATTTTTAAATTTAAAAATTTCATCTCTCTAATAATTCTTAAAAAGCAAATAATGAATAAAAATGGACATTTCGTGCAGTATAATATAGTTGTAATTGGGAAATAATGTCATCGATTGTCATCATTGTCCACTTTTGTAGAGATTATATTTCAAATTAAACAAATTCTTGTTTCTTTTTTTTCCCTCCTATTTCCTTTCAATCTTTGTCTCTTCTTGCATCTCCTCCTCCCTCTCTCTCTCTTTTTCTCTCCCAATCCTTCTTAAAAAAGATAAGGAATTGCAAAGGAATGAAAATAAAGGGAAAAAGAAAAAGAGAACGAAGTGCGGAGAAAGAGACGAAAGAACGAAAGGGGTCAAAGTTATTCGATTTCTGAATTTTGATGAAAAGAATTTGGACCGACCCGCAATTGAACCAAACCATAAATCATAAATTGGTACGATGAAAATATCATGGAAATGATAGGAGGCATTAAAGGAGAAAGAAAATGTTAAAATGAAAAAGAATGGAAAATGATGAAGAGAGAGAGAGGAAATGAGGAAAAAGATGAGGGATAGTAGTGGAGAGTTTGTAAATCGATTGAATGAGATGAAAAAGTGGAGCAGATAATAAGAAAAAAAATGGAAGGAAAAGATGAAAAAAAACATCGAAATGAAAGGACAGATTATTTCAATGAAATTAAAATGAAAATAGATGAAAAGGAAATTAAATCGGAACTGGAAATCTTTAATCGATCGATCGGTTAATGATATTATTATAGTAATTGTAGCGATTTATTATTTATGATGACGATAAAGCATAGTGCAGTCAATATTGTTGTAATGGTCAATTATTGATTTTCATAAAATTTGCTATTAATAATTAGCATTTCCACGCTATTATGAATTAGAATAAAACCAAAAAAAGGTTAATTAAATTTATTCACTATTAGTAATTAATTAGTTATTCCATTTATTGGCATTAATTCATTATTATTTTCTGGCTAATATTTATTTTATTCTTATTTACTATTAATGATTAATTATTTTGTTATCGGAATTAATTTATTTCTGCCAGTTTTTTTAGCTAATAATCTTTTTTTTTTGCTTATCTGTTATCAGTGACTGATTACTGCATTGTTGGGATGAATCATTTCATATTTATTCGATATTTATTATTTTATTATCGATATCTAATTCCTTTTTTTCAGGAGAAAAATAGTTTTGTTCTTGTTTGTTTTTAATGATTTACTATTTCATTATCGGAGCTAATTTATTTTTTGCTTTTTTTTCCGATTCGATTAATATTAACAAAATTTCGATTAATGATTAACGAAATAATTCGGTTAATCCGTTTAACTAATTAACCATCCTCCAATTATTTACAGTCACAGGATTTATGAATAATTAATCATTTATTACATAATAAGGAAATTTGTCAACGTAAATTGTTGTTAATGGCAAAAATGACTAATTAATCAAAATAAAATAAATTGTTGCGAATGATTTTTTTTTAAAACATTATTGGAGATTTAAATTAATATAAATTTTTAATGTTCAAAAGTTTGCAAAATGCTTATGTAAGTTAATTAAATAATCAATCCGTTTTAAGTTTGGGCCAAACTCATTATAGTAACCCAGGATGGTTAATGCTTTCTCTTATATTTTGTTAAACAAAATTCAAATTTAAATGACTGCAACGAAATGTTGACCTAATATAATTTGTTATTAATTTATTGCTTATAATATTGACACTCCATTTAATGTGCACACTGCGACTGAAAGATTCCGTCAATTCAAATTACTCAAATATAAATTAGTTCTGATACATTTAAATTAAGTTAATTCGATTATATTTAAGTGAAATCAACTCAAATACATATAAATGTAATTCAATTTAGTAGGTTGCCTAAATACAAACTTGTTTAAATTAAACTAATTCATTTATAGCCAAGTGAAATTAATTCAATCGAGTACAGTTACTCTAATTTGATTAGTTTTGATATAATCAAATTAAACAACTTCAATTATATTCAATTAAAATTGATTGGAATATCCTAAAATTTAGTTTGGGTGTATTTTGAATGTAATTTGATCATGTACAGTTAAATTTAACTACAATACCACACTATTATATCATTAAATGACGGTAATCATTGAATGACAATAATGTGACAGGTAATAATTGGAATGAAAATTAAATCATTCTCGGTAATTTTGAAGGTCTTAAATTTGGAATTAATTTCAAAAGTCTGTTATTAAACGAACGTTGTGTTTATTTACAATATTGTTGACGTAATTGACGTAATTATTTGACATTTTTATATAAAAGTTGTTTCAACCAAAAAAAAAGTGTTTGTGATAAGAAGTCGACACCTATGCTACAAGTAATTATAACGATAAGCAAATTTGATGGATTTAATCTGAATGCTT